TAGGAGAGCAGGGAGTAGGTTTACAGTAGACCTCTGCCCTGGGGGAGCATTCAAGGTAGGAGAGCAGGGAGTAGGTTTACAGTAGACCTCTGCCCTGGGGGAGCATTCAAGGTAGGAGAGCAGGAAGCAGGTTTACAGTAGACCTCTGCCCTGGGGGAGCATTCAAGGTAGGAGAGCAGGGAGTAGGTATACAGAATACCTCTGCCCTGGGGGAGCATTCAAGGTAGGAGAGCAGGCGGATTGATTGATTGATTGATTGATTGATTGATTGATTGATTGATTGGTGTTTAGAATGTTATAGGGAGTAGGTATACAGAAGACCTCTGCCCTGGGGGAGCATTCAAGGTTGGATAGCAGGGAGTAGGTATACAGAAGACCTCTGCCCTGGGGGAGCATTCAAGGTAGGAGAGCAGGCGGATTGATTGATTGATTGATTGATTGATTGATTGATTGGTGTTTAGAATGTTACTGAGAGTAATAAACAGGAGTATATTCAGCAGATGTCCAGATATCTGATGGTTGACAGGATCAGTAAACAGATGGAGGCGTTCAATGAAGGTCTGTTGGTGTTATTTATTTTAAACATTTACCTACAAGGACATATTTTTATTCTTACTATTTAAGAGTAGATGCTGAGAGAATCGTTGAAATATAAACATTTAAACTTGATGTTGTGGCTAAACTAAATTACATTATCATATAATCAATCTATCAAGATAAAATGTGGTTTCTTTAATTTTTTTGGTTTCAAAAATAACTCTGATACTAATCCATATATCTTTGCAACCTTTGGTGTAAAAAAAAATCAAAAAGTTTGAACTACCAAATGACTAACGAACGCTTCAAAGATAATAATAAAATTTGCAGTTCCTTTGATGGATGTATATTGTATATCTAGGAGTTCAGACTCTGGTTCCTCCTGAGCTATTAACTCTATGGGATGAGTATGAACTTGAACTTCTACTGTGTGGTATTCGACAATATAATCTAGATCAGCTCAAGGATAATCATGCTATAGTTGGAATTCAAACTCTCAGGTTCACGTATACACATTTTTTTTTAATAAATCTTGCTTTTTCTTATTATACAATTACACCCCTTAGAAATTGTAATTTTGAAATATTAAAGACTACCAAAATTGAAAATATTTCTTTTAATTTTCTGAATCAGATTGTAGAATGAAGATGTAGATGTAGATGTTTATATTTTCTTTTTTGAGTTCCAATGTTTTAATGTTTGTTTTGTTTTAGATTCTCTCGTATCCTGAAATGGTTTTGGGAAGCTTTATCCCACTTCTCTAACGAGGACATGGCTCGGTTTGTCCAGTTTGTAACAGGATCCTCACTTCTACCTCCAGGTGGTTGGTCTGAGCTCTCTCCCATCCTGCAGATTAGTCTAGGAGGAGAGAAGGGTAGTTTACCAACCTCACATACCTGTTTCAACCTCCTGGTTCTCCCGGATGCAGAGAACTACCAGGAGCTGGAAAGGGTTCTAATCCTAGCGCTCAGGGAGGGGAGTGAAGGCTTTCTTCTCGCTTAGACGTCTCTCACACAACAGTTCGTTTTATTTACAGGAAATTGCAGGATTTTTCATCAAAGATGCAATACAACAACCAGAAAGTAAATTCTCGTGACAACAACAAGAAAGTGAACCATTAGACTTGCACTGTAATTAAATTTCAATTTCTTGTTCTGAAGTAAACCCCTCTATCTTCTTAAACTACGAAACCTTTAGTCCCCAAANTTATAGAACGGTATATAATCCGCCATAATACTAGTAAACAATATTATAGAACGGTATATAATCCGCCATAATACTAGTAAACAATATTATAGAACGGTATATAATCCGCCATAATACTAGTAAACAATATTATAGAACGGTATATAATCCGCCATAATACTAGTAAACAATATTATAGAACGGTATATAATCCGCCATAATACTAGTAAACAATATTATAGAACGGTATATAATCCGCCATAATACTAGTAAACAATATTATAGAACGGTATATAATCCGCCATAATACTAGTAAACAATATTATAGAACGGTATATAATCCGCCATAATACTAGTAAACAATATTATAGAACGGTATATAATCCGCCATAATACTAGTAAACAATATTATAGAACGGTATATAATTCGCCATATTTTATCCTAAGGTCGAAACTTGCAAATTGTTAATTCAGAAAGCGCTAAACCGTATATTTTGTTGTCTGGAAAGTTAAGTTTATCCCTTTCGTATAGTAAGTTTAATAAGATGGCTATTGTAAAACTCGAATTTAAGAAGACGCCGGAAGATGTTATTTGATGTCGGCTTGAAGGTTGTTAAGTTATTAATGCTGCTAAGCTTTATCTTAACGAAAGGATTACTGAAGCATCAGAGGTTTCTGCTTTCAGCTTCCCAGAGAATATTATTTACTAAAACAATCAAATCTTTGTGTTTAGAGTAAAGGTTTTTTTTGGAATAAATTTTTTTTAATTATATGGTAAAAAAATAGCAATAAACTACGCAGAACAGTTATCAAACATCTTCACATCATTAACAGTATTCTCTATGGATACGGGTTAAGTTGCAGGTTATAGATATAAGCGCTATTTCATTCAAAAGTTGTGGACTCGGGATATTTCATAAATATCAAATACATACCACTTTCAATTTTAGTGTCTATAAACATCTTGTTGAGAAATTATTTACAACCATAATTTATTAAAATTCGGATAAAATATTTATTTATTAGCAGTGCTTAGGATCCGGATCCGTTGGATCCGCAAGATTTTTGCTTCCTGGATCCGGATCCAGGGGGTAAAATATCAACCAAAAACTGAAAAAAAAAACTTTTTTACTCCTAAACCCCAATTCTGAAGTTTTGAAAAAAGAGAGATAATATAAATTTCCTCATTTCTGATAGTTTATCAAGTTTTAGGATAAAAACAAGCGAAAAAAGTAAAAAAAATTGAAAATTATTTTTTGTTAAAAAATTCAGTAAATTTTTAAGAAATAACCTGGATC